TGTTCCTTGCTTTACTTGAACTGCCCCGTTTTGGTATACCATCATTTCTTCGAACCATCTTTTGAAATCTCTTAGTAAGATAGGCCATGTCACTATTTTTATCACTTGAGTCACTGCTTTTAGCTTTAAGTATCAGGTTCTTTTCCTTCTGAGACTCTCTCTTTCATTGTCTTTCTTTCTTTTCATCTCGTATGTCTTCAGATTACTAATCAACTCATCCATGGTCAGAGTATCTAGATCTTTAGCTTTAGTGATGGCATTTACCTTACTTTCCCAAGAACCAGGTAGAACACTGAGGATTTTCCTTACAAGCTTGTTTCTAGGAATGACATCTCCAAGTGAATGAAGCTCATTTATGATGGAGGTGAATCTTGTATGCATATCTTGTATAGACTCATCATTCTTCATCCTAAAGAGCTCATATTTCGTGTTAAGCATGTCGATTTTGGACTTTTTGACCTGAGTGGTTCCTTCGTGTGTTGTTTGTAATGCTTCCCATATTTCTTTGGCATTGTCACAAGCTGAGACTCTATTGTACTCATCAGGTCCTATGCCACACATCAAGATTCTCTTGGCATGATAGTTCTTTCCTATAGCTTTTCTGTCAATGTCGTTGTACTCTTTTCTGCCTTTCGGCACCATTGGTCATATTTCTTCAAGATTCTTCATGGGGACATGTGGACCATCACAAATGATGTCCCACAATTCTGAGTCTTCTGCCATCATAAAATCATGCATGCGGGTCTTCCACCAGCCATAGTACTGACCATTGAATCTGGGAGGTCTGTAGGTTGATTGTCCTTCCTCAAAGTTGGGTGGAGCAACCATTGAGATCCTTTCTAGGTATTAAATTTGGTCCTATATAAGATGATGCTGAGAATGCTATAGAGACTAAAAGTAAAGAAGACAAGCGATTTTTACGTGGAAAAATCTCACACAATGGGATCAAAAAACCACGACCTACTCATGTAGGCTTTTAACTTCACTACTTGCAATCTCCCTATTACAAGCCATTTTGCAATAACCCTATTACAAAGACTTCAACTAACTTGTGATGCTCTCACCTCAAGCCACTTTATAACTCTCCTAGTTACAAAGGCTTTAAACTTATGACTATTCCTAGTCACAACATAAACTCAGAACTTTACGGATTTTTGGTTTTTTCCTAAGACAAATCTTCTAAGAAAGCAAACTAGAAAATATAATGAAGAACAAATGACAAGATTACAACTCAACTACGGATGTACATAAACTCAATAAGAAACTGATCCTTAGTGGAGTTGTCTTCTTGTTCTTGACACACCATTGACTTCAATGCCGGATAAACACTGTTATGCTTAAGAGAATATCACTGAATGCACAAAAGATGGTGTGCCTTGCACCAGGTTGTTATATCACAAAAGACATCACAATAGATAGTGGTGTCGATTCTGGGTACACGCTTCTTCCCAATAAGAAGTGATTGTTGTACTGTCTGCACAACCACTTCTGTGCAGTTGTGTTCCAGCTGGAAAGTCTACTTGTACTTCTGTTAGAGAACACTAATGAACCAGGTCGTAGTTGTGTTCCTCTTCTGTAACAGTCGTGAGATGGTCACTTTTTGCTGCTACGTTCCAGTTGTACAGTGACTTGTACTTCTGTTAGAGAACCCTAAGGGACCAGGTCCCTGTTGTATTCCTCTTTATAATGATTGCAGACAGTCACTGACTTGTATTTGTGTCGGAGAACCCTAAAGGACCAGGTAACCAGGTACATGTTGTGTTCCTCCCTGTGGTCGTTCATTCATTTGCTGATACCATGTGGGCCAGGTTCTTTATCTGGTTCTTTACAACAAGTTTGTTAGATCATCAAAACATAAGAAGCATAAGGCAAAGACCATGAAAACCCATCAGCTATACTTATAATTGTTTCTTACCAAAATGAAGATGAGTTAGCTTACACTTTTAATTACATGCATGAATTCATAGAGACAATAATTTTCAAGTTTGCAGGATGTGAATTAAAGACTTACCTTAATACTTGAAAAATATTTTAAGATCTTGAAATAAAATAAATCTAATTTATTTAAGCATTNTATATATATATATATCAAATTCTATTTGGCGCTCCTTATGAAATGAGGTTAAGCTATATTTGTCACGATCCAACTCCATGTCAGGCCGTGATGGCGGCCAACACCATTGCTAGACAAGCCAATAGTGAACATCATAGTGATTTCCCATTTTTATTAAGCAATCCCAATATCTAACTTTACTTAAATTTAAAGCATTTGATAACTAACGGATTTTTAAGGCAGGCAAAATGGAAACAACTAGAAGAAATCATAACTATAGAAATACAACCCAAAAATCAAGTCTACTAAAATGTGCCAAGATCTAGTGTCACAAGTTTTTGGGCAACTAGCAGAAGATACAAAAGATGACTATCATATTGTCTAAAATAGAATAGACAGATACAAGAAAAAGAGAAACTTCGGCATGTTGTTGAACAGCTTGAAAGGGGGAAGCTCACCGTGAACTATCAGTCCAAGATCAAGAATGCGCGGCGGGTAGGTAAATAGATGCACCTGCCTCACATCATGTACAATTAAGTGCAGAAGCATAGTTTGAGTACATAAATAATATGTACCCAGTAAGTATCCAGTCTAACCTCGAATAAGTAGTGATGAGGGGTCGACTTGACACTTACTAGGGCTAACAATAATATAATTAAAGCGTTATGCTAAGCATAGATATCATGAATAATACTGATAGTTTAATAATAGGAAGTGATAAGTTCTTATTTCATAAATATATTTCAAACTTAGTCATATCATTTAACAACTTACATTTCAAGGCATTTAAACAGTATAAATCATAGTGAGTTATGAATAATTAACATGCGCAATTATGCCGAGGTCGTACGGCCCGGTCCAACATAATATTAAGTTGTGCACTGCCGGATGGTCGAACGGTGCGAACCATAGATGCATCTATTTACTACCGAGGTGCTCGGCCCGATCCACAAATAATAATTTATTTTCAAGAAAGCACACATTTCCCATCTACCATCAAGTATTTCATACAAATCCTCAAGTAAGTGAGTATAACTTTCTATAATTATTTTAACAATTTCCGGCATGACTTAGTGATTATAATAGCAAGTAAGGATGCAAACATTTCAAATATAGCATGATATGGGTCTTAAACTACCCGGATAATAATGTAATAGTAGCTAAGTACGAACTCTCGTCATCACATACATACGTAGCCCCCATAGATAGGTACAAATATTTATTTAATTCACCTATGGGGTTAATTCCCTCTTATAAGGTTAGAAAGGAAACTTACCTCGTCTCAAAGCCTACTTCCCAATTCAAACGCGCTCAAACCTCCAAATTTGACGCCAAACGACTCGAAACTAGTCAAACAATACATAAACTAATCAATCTATGCTCAAAAGTTCATAATTCCACCATTTAAGTGATTACCCAATCTAAATTGCAAGATTCCTAATATTCACCCTCGGGCCCACATGCTCGGATTCCTGAAATTTTTAAAGGAAGTTGTTACCAATAACCTTAGGAATATAAATATATGATTTCTACTAAATTCCATAACAAATTTCCTGGTTAAATCTCATTTTTATCAAAACCCAAGGTTTTCTCCTAAACCCATGATTTTCACTAATTTACATATTATAATATATCATAAACTATATATTTAACTCACATTGTGTAGAATTTACTTACCTCAAATTGCTAAGTCGAAATCCCCTCTTTGAGAGCTCCCCAATCGCCCAAATGTGTAAAGAATGGGAGAAAAATGCCTAACTCCCTTATAAAATAAAGTGCACTTCCCTAGCGATTTTCGCACCTGCGGTGCATAGGCCGCACCTGCGGATCCGCTTATTTGGACCAGGTGTCCGCTTTTGCGGAATTGGTTGGGCTGGCTGGGGCCGCACCTGCGGACGGGCTCCCGCTTCTGCATAGAGGGAACCGCTTCTGCGGAATCTGACTGGCCATTCTTGGATTGCATCTGTGGGGCTTGGCTCACACCTGCGGAAATAGGCTCGTAGGTGCGGTTACACTAGAATTGGTGCACCAACAGCCCTGTTGAGTTTCAAACTGAATTCGCGCATCGTCCGAATGGCTCCCGGGGCCCCATCCAAACATACCAACAAGTCTGGAATCATAAAACGGACTCGCTTGAACTCACGAAATGCCCTAAACAACATTAAAACGAAGAATCACACCTTAAACCCAATTGAATCAAACTTAAGAACTTCAAGTTCTTCAATTTAATTCCAATGCACCGAAACATACTTATACTATTCGGAATAACACCAAATTTTTTGTACAATCCTTAAATGATATTATGGAACTATTCCAGATCTTGGAATCCCGTTTGGACCTCGATATCACTAAAACCCGCTCCAAATCAAACTTTAAAGAACTTCAAAATCCTTCAAAAACCAACTTTCACTATTAGGCGCCAAAACGCTCTTGGGTCATCCAAAACCCGATCAGAGCATACTTTCAAGTCCGAATCATCATACGAACCTATTGGAACCATCAAATCTTGATTCCTAGGTCATTTACTCAAAATGTTAACCGAAGTCAAACTTGGAATTTTAAGTCAACCTTAAGAAACCAAGTGTTTCGATTTCAACCCAAACTCTCCCAAATTCTGAACTAACTATTCCCGCAAGTCATAAATCAGTAAAAGCAAGCACATGAAGTCTCATTTAGGGGAACGAGGTTCTAGAATATAAAACGATCAGTCGTGTCGTTACAATATTGGATGCAAATAATTTATAACCACATTGAAGTAGCTTCTAATATTGAAGTAAAAAATGTTGTATTACATGTCTCAGCATTTAAAAGGGTCTTGAGTACAAAACAACCGAAATAGATGTAAAGAACGAACGCCAAGAATATCGTCTATAAATAAATATTTGGCGAGATATATTTAATACATAATTGTACCTCATAAAATTAATTTAAAAAATTCACATGTATCTAATTAAAATTTTATCGTTCATATTCATAGATTCAGGGCTTTACTATAAATTCACTCAAAATTTTGTAGTACTAATATTAATGTTATTTTACACAAATGTGTATTGATTCGGTATACACGTGCGACGCACGTGACGAGAGACCAGTATCCTTTATAAATAGCAGATCGGTCATCCACCACACCAGTTTATCATCATTCACCCCAAATCACCCAATCCTTTTCATACACATTTGTTACAAGTAGTGTTTAGTTATGGAGAGTTGATAGTGGTTCTCTGGCTAATGATTGTTCTTTGCACCCCTGAGTTACTACTGATTAGACCCAATATCAAGTAGCGATGATTGTATTCCAGTGGCTTCCCACCTTTTGTACCGTGAACCTGCTACACCGATGCAAAATATATTAACAAGATATGTGGGAGTGTGGCTCAAACCATTTCTTGCCTCTCTATCCTGCTAGACACCAATAACAACAATAACATAGGAAATAAGTGATTTCGAGTCAGAAGATAATAATTGTGAAGTTACAATTGAAATAACGTGACACACCAATAACAATAATAAGATTGGAAAATCATCATAATACTGAGTAGTAGTACTCCTCATGGTTAACAATCAAACTTAACACATAGCCGATCTGGTCACAATGAGAACATATTTTTGCTTTATCCTTGCCAATTAATCATGTTTTTAATTTGTATTCCAGCATAAAGCACCATGTTACGAAGAGAGAGTAACCTCCTTTTCTTTTCCTCTTTTGCAATTCACATATTCTAACAGTAAGTTATACCTGACATATTGCCTTCACATAAACTCCTATAAATCATAGTTAATTAATACGCATACTCACCTCACCTTTTATTTATGACTTAACTGTGAAAATTAAGTATGATTTTTTTTGTAAACATCTGAGTGTAAGTTCTTAATCCAATTTTTATATTTGATTAGCATCTTAAATTTTATCAAGTAATACATCAAAACCAAACCATTAATATTCATGACTATTTATTTTTTAAGTTGCGATTATCGAGTGAATAGTTTTTCTTTTCTTTTTTTCCTACCTTTTATTAGTAGCAACAAATAACTTCCGCCGCAACAACTTAAGATTTTCTATATACTATCACGTTTGTGAACAGTAAAAAATAATTCTCCTGTTATTTTATTTTCTTACTCTAATTTTTCGACTTTCAGAACTTATTAAACATAAAAAATTCTATATATACATTTGAACAATAATATACAAGATTAAATATTTGTACAAAAAGAATATGATAAATCTTAGGTGATATTTAACATTTGATTTTGAGAAATTGATTTTAAGTTTGATTTGTAAAGAATAACTCATCAATGCTTGGATAGTTGGATTTAGTATGAAACTCATTGATGGGCAGCATTTAAAAACATGTTTGCTGGTTAGCTAAGCTAAGCCACAAAGAATACAGATATAGAGTAGTTACGACACTTAATCAGAATGGCGATTATATAATAAATAAATAAATAAAGTGTGAAAGAATTATAAAGGATAATTGATTTCATTCATCCAAGACTTATGTATCAACAATAACTTAACTAATTAACATGCAAAGCTTTCTCCCTTGTGAATCACTTATTTGTATATTATATTCCGATCCCTATAAGAAGAGGCAAATTCTCATATGTCATCTCATCCTTGCATACATTGAGTACATTAATAATATTGCTAACAAGTTAATACGGAGAGCTACTTGCTACTAATTATATTAATTTTGACGACTATTATCCCAAGAACTAGCTGTCAAGCATGTTACCTTTTAATGGAGTACGTACTACAATGGCCCAACATTCTGTGAGATGCAACTGCAATCAAGAAAAATTCCGGAACAGTTCTTCATCCATGGTCTTTGGCCAAGCGATACGAGAGCAAGAAGCTTGACATGTCCATGTCTCTCTCCTAGTCTCGAAGATCAGATAGTAGAAAATGTGGTAAGTGCTTGAAATTAGGACGAGCTAGCCTGCATTATATAAACTTCCAAATCTTATAAATACTTTAATTTGTGATGCTTTGCACAGTTGAAAAATGACAACAACTTAGAAACGGCTCTCGCCTTTCCACAACGTTTGGGCGAATTTGGCAGCTGGCAGGCAGGTTAAAACTTTCTGGCAACATGAATGGAGAACCCACGGTTTTGTTACGTACAGGTCAAAGCGATTGTGGGTCGTACCGCATAAAAGAAATATCGTCCTGCCAACTTTTTAGTATTAGTCAGCTAGCTAGTCCAACTCATTTTGAATAAATATTAATGCCTTAGTTTTTACGTTGGTGTTTAGACGTAATAATGTTGTATTATCTCATATCATATCAAGCCCAACTGATAAATAAAGACTTGTACTCACTTCATGAAATAAAGACTTCTTCCTTCATTTGTCTTTTTCTTTTTAGTGCCTTTGAACTCTAATTGAGAGTAAGAGCCCGTTTGGATGAGCTGATTTGAAGTAGCTGATAAGCATTAGGTGCTGAAAAGCAATTTTAAGGGCTAAAACTTATTTAATAAATAAGCAGTTACGTGTTTGGGTATAAGTGTTGAAATTGATAATAAGTTGTTGCTGTATTTGATAAAAAAATGATGATAAGCTCTTTTTCGATTAAAATGACTTAAATAACTTTAGAACTGTTTACACTTATAAGAGCATAATTTCTTTAAAATTTTAGATTTCAAATCGATTCAAATACGAAATATTCTATTTGTCATTTTATTTTAAATACAATTGTGCTTAGACAAGATAATTTTTAAGATAAATATAATTTATTTTATGATAAACATATAATCATAAGTTATAATAATTAATAAATTAACAAAAGTTTCTCAGTAAAAAATAAACCTAAATAGGACAAAATATTTGAGGCAGTGAGTATCGATGTAGGAGTTTTGTTCGAAAAAGGAATGTTTAAAGGATAAAATAGTAAAAAAATTGGTCAAATTTAAAGTGCTTATAAGCTAAAAATTCATAAGCTGGGGGTAAATAGCTTATGGCTTTTGACTTATTTTTGACTTATAAGCACTTGGCTTATAAGCAGTTTTAACTTTACCAAACACGTAGATAAGTCGAAAAGTACTTATAAGCTAGTTTGACCAGCTTAGCCAAACACCCTCTAAATATTAATGCCTTAGTTTTTAAGATGGGATTTATTCGTCTAATTAGCTTTTAAAAAAAATCAATCTTATCAATAATTAATAAACCATCCACCCCCAACTACTAGCCATATATATAGAAGAACAATTACGTTTCATGGGACTGCCGAAAGATAACAAACAAGTCAAATAAGTGTGAACAAGAATTCCAATATATGAAAGGGTTGAATCTGCTCTGTATAGTTAGCTACAACTCCAATAGAAATTAACAACAATCTTTTTATAAGATTGTTGCTTCGATTCAAATCGGGAACTTTTCCGGTGATAATAATACGCCTCAAACCTAATTCTTCTTTTTCTGTATTTATCCTTTCTTTTCATTTCAAATTTCTAACAAAGTTCTACTCTCCAATCATAACAAATAAATACTGCACGTACTCCTCAAACATTGGAAGACTGAATAAATTAAACTCTTTTCAGACATTCTAAGTAAATAAAAGTGATGTGATTGGGAGGGGAATCATCATTTGAGGGGCATCCAAATACGGGAAATACAGGGGAAAAAAAATTAGAACAAACATTAGCTTGCAAATAATAATTCAAGTCGAAATATGAAAGAATTTTTATTTCTTACTCTAAAAACATGAATTTTCGAGGCTTGTGGTTGTTTTTCAAATTTAAGAACAATGTTTACCTCGGAAATACGAGTAACAATTAAATTTGATTTGTGGTTTTAAAGATACGTGATTCAGTTCAATACCGATTAATAATCAAGAAATATGAAGTATAGATGAAGAAAATTAGTAAGACCAACCAGTAGATAGGTCAGTTTCGACCTCAAGCCCAGTGACCTCAAGGCAGGCTTGAGCAATAAAGTGAGAATAATAAAGCTAAAGGACAATTTTGATGAATAATGAGCGAAAAAATAAAATAGTATATTCTTTTCCAATGATTAGTTTATCCTTACAAATGATTGGCGACCCCTTTATATATGAGGGGAGTCCTAAATAAGGTACATTTCCATTTACAGTAAAGAATCATATTGGGACAGCTGTATAATTGCCCGGTACGGATTTGTACTAATTCGTACAAATCTATTTCGGAATTTACGCCATGATCTTGGGGACGTGGCGAGAATCTTGTCCTTCTGTAACAAACTCACAACGGCACTATCTCGGAGTCGGTCATACTTGGCTCTGATAATAGGCTAGATTCATGTAATTTGGCGACTGTTTATGCCCCAGCTTGACTATGTTTCACTGTTCTAGAATAGTTCAATAACGATAAATTGGCTCTAATTGCAAATTTCATGTTTTGCAGGAGCGAGTTGCGCTTATGAGGACTTAGTACTGTGTTTGGAGCTAAATTGAAGCATGGGAAGCCCCTCGGAGCTGAGTACGTTGAAAGAAGAGAGAAAAGAAGAGCTGAAATGATGATCCAATTTAGCGCGACCGCGCTAGCCCAGGAATTCGAGGCAGAATACTATACCATATGCGCGGTCATTAGCGCGACCGCGCTAGTCCAGTTCGGAAAATATAATTCAGGGGTAAACTTGGAAGTTCGGGGGTAATTCCACTTAGCCTATAAGAGGTCCACTCGCCCAAAGGGACATTATCAAGGTTTTTACAACTTAGTTGAAGGCAAGTAGAGGCAAGAGGCAAGGAAGATAATTCAACATCGAGTTCTTCCTTTCTTCCTTTTGTATTTTACCTTTTATGATGAATTTCGTTATTGTTATGATGAGCACTATTATAAGTAGCTAAATATTTAGTCTATGGTTTTGATGGAACCTATTCAAGGATGAACTTCGTGTTATGTTAATATAGTTTGCCCGATTTAATCTCTATTTGTTCAACTATGTTCTTGTTGTAGTTAATTGATAGGATCCTCAATTAGTTGTGCCTATTTAGTATGTATTACTCGGGAGAGAGTTGATATTTAGGTAATTGTTGAACAACACCACTCCCAAAGTATATGAGGGATCAATAATTGAGGGTTTAAAGGCGGGATTAGGGATAACGAAGCCTTGGGTGCGATCTAAAGTGAGCTGTAATAAAAGACAACTAGCGTAACTCGGGAGAGTGCGTCTAGTAAATTATCGTGATTACTCAAGAGAGATTTACAGTAATAAGAGTGCTCATGATCGATAGAGACGATTAGGAAATTCTATGCAAAACATAACAGGAAAGGATTCCATCAATAGGGGATATCATAACCTTAGATCCTTCTCTTACTTGCATACAACTCAATCATAGTTAGTTGTTAGTTTACTTGCTTTTATTCAGTTATAGTTAGTTAAAACATCTCCAATTGTTATTCAAAATATCTGGAAAGTTGATTACGAAGAATTTAGTGAGTCTAACAAGAGTAATTGGTAGGTTAATTCCTTGTGGATTCGACTCTGGGCTAAATACTCGGATTATATTTGCAGCGACCACTTTGTCCTTTTTATAAGGCATAGTTGGGCGTGATCAGACTCTGATATTCCTTAAATACGTAGGCCTTCGAGCCTCTTATTCTGCCTTTAAGCTTGAGCTTGGTCTTTATTGAACTTCAACCCTCGGTGTGACATCTCGAGCCTACTAAATCGGGGGCACCTGATCTCACCGTATACATATAGTCTCTGTATTTCTTAGAGTAGAATTATAAGAAACGATTTGAACCTCGATTTTCGGAGCCCCTGACGATGACCTCATCCTCGTGATTTAAGCGCTCGAAGTGAACCTATGGCTAAAACTTCCAAAATAGTCCCCCAAAAAGAGAAAGCATCGTCTTCTTCTACTTCTCAGCCGGCCAAACTAGTGGTGTCACCGGCTCTTCACGAAATCACCTCGATCCTTGCGTGATAAAGAAGTATTTTAATGTTGAAAATCTTATCGATATCCCAGGCCGATGCGAACATGTATCTCGATACATTAGTTTGATACCGAAGAAGTACCTCAAAACCATGAAGAAAGACTATGGATGGGGAGACGAGGTCATGGTTCAGATCCTAAGCCTCGAGGAAAGCATCACAACCCACGTGGAGGGAGTTTTTAAGTGTTTACACTTACCCCTTCACATTGGGTCCCCTCGATCCGGTAGTGATCGATTTTTGCAAATGGTACGAGGTTACTATCGGCCAAATCTATCCCTCCTTTTGGCGTATCGTGAACATACTGTGTTATTTTTATGGTAAGGTCGAGGGATTGGAATTTACCCTCAACCATCTCATTCGACTATATAGGCCCCAGTTGTTTTGAGGGCTCATCAAGCTGCAATGTCGAACAAAGAAGGCCTTTTTTACTAGTAACGATGAAGACAAAGATCGAGGCTGGATGAGCCAGTTCATCAGAGTGAGGACTTCGGATGTCATCCCTAGGGAAAAAATGTCATTCCCAAAGAGTTGGAACTTTAATCGTAAGTGAAGTTCTTTTCCAAAAAACCATACATATTCTGCTTTCGTGTTTCACAATGCCTTTACCTTTTCTGTAGCTATTGCTTGGACGCCCCACGCTATCCCTTACCTCGAGGACTGGGTTCGAAAGTTAGTTGTGACCTCCTCGTATGATGAGCGCAAATGGCGTGATTTATCGAGGGGTAAATGGGAGGCCAAACATCATGGTAAGTTCTCTTCCTAGGTTTTGATACTTTTCTTTTACTAGCGATGTCATCTCATTCATGTTCATTTGTGCAGGCATCGGAGATGTCTCTAAAATAAGGCTAGCCCCATTTGGGGAAGGAACCGAGTCTCCGATTCCAAAATCAGGGAAAGATAACAAAAGAAAGAGGGCTTCAAAGCCCGAAGATACCTAGGATAAGTCGGCCCCTACTCAGAAGCTGAGGAGGAAGCTTATCCATGTGGA